AACCCAACACTGCTAGCCATGTCTTTTTCTCCCATATCCTTTCACTTATTAAGATACTATAGAAACAATCAACTGTGGATTAAAAATAAAGAAAACTTAAAGTTAACAGGCCCTGAGAGAAAGTCTCTGTTACTTCAAAGCAAAGTACTAAATTTTGTCAATTATTTTGGCCAAAGGAATCTATTTTCTCTTTACTTCCTTCTTCCCCTCTCCCTCCTTTGCTCTCATTCTTTTCTTTTAAACTATTCACTATGGCTGAGACTATGGTAAGACTTTCTTTACTCTTTTCAATGAAAGGTTTATAGTTAATACATATTGGTTTTCCATATGGGACATTCTGGTTATTTCTACATCACTTCCTTTCTTTTTGGCAAGTATAATGATTTTCAGTGCATAGCCTTTACTTACCAATTATTAAATAAAAATTATTTAAAAACCTTTGATTATGAAAAACAAATACATGCTTATGGAGAAGCGGACCATACCCACTTGTAAGGTAGGGACACTTGGATCAGGCCTAAACTCATCTACTGACTAGCTGGTTCACAGGCAGAAAAGTAGCACAATACAGGTAAGTGTGGCCAGAGGAGAAAAGTTTCTTTTTGGAGTATATTTCTGGAAGCAACCCTACCCAGTTCCTAGATTTAATAGTTTTGGAAGCTGCATCCACCTTGTAAGCACATGTGGCATCCTCTTATAGAATGAAGTTGATGCCTGAGCAACCAGAAATGAGAGATGCAAAGAATCAGGGTCCTTCACAACAACTCTGAGTCACTGAATTAAACCAACTGAAACGTACTGTGCTTCTGGTAGTGAAGTGAATCAGTTAATTCCCTGTAGTGTTTAAGCCAATTTCAGTTGGACTTGCTGTTATTTGCAATTAGATGCATCTTGAAAGATTCACTGTATCTTTCATCAGGAAGAGGATGCCTGTTTTTTATTCAAATTATACGTGAAAGAAAAAGCTACAACATCTTCCAGTTTTAAATAATTTTGCTATCAAAAATATTTTGCTATTTTTTCTGTCATATCCTTATCCTATTGGTTATTTGGCTTCAGGTTGTTTTTTGCAAGAAATATGTCAAATTGTAAATTGGTTTATTCTATAATTACAGGGAGTGGCTTCAGTATGCATAATTGTTATTCTATAGAAGGCAATTAGTATGAGGTTAATACCAAATGAACAAGAAAGATAACATTCAGCAAATAAAACATACAGTAAAACAATGTATATAATAGAGCATTGGTTTTATTGATGGCAAAGGAAAAAATTCTTTCACTTGTAAAAAGTATTTCCTTTACTTAACCAGGTACTTTTCCCTATTCTTTGTGTGCGTTGAATTGTTTCCTCCCCAAATCAGGTTTGTTGTCCAAAATCTAGTATTTCCCATCGTATTCTGAAGGGAAAGCAGATCCATAAGGAGGTTTTGACCAGGATGTTTCAGTCAACATCTCCTTTCTTCACAAAGACTCTATTTAAAAAAGAGAGAAGAAGGTGAAATTGGACCCTCATATTGACTTTTCCATACTCAAGATAGACTTCTGCTAAAACATGTCTGTGAAGTGCTTGTATAAATATCAATAGATCTCATGTAGAATAAACTGGACACTGCTGTCTAGTTTATAAATAATTTCTATGGAATAATAATGTAAACCAAAAGCAAAAACATTCAAGATAATATTTTCTTTTATAAATTCTTAAAGTACATCTCTGTCACTGTTGGCACCTTTATTACTAGCATGCTGATTTCAGCAATTTAGGTTGACTGAAAAGTTTGTAATAGAGAATAACCTTAAAAAAAAGGCAACCTGCCCAAGAAGTACTTCTCCCTCCATCCTACCAACACCCACTTCTCCTTTGAAAACTTCTGGATTGGTTTAATCTGCCAGATCTTTTATTTTATTCTGCCACCTCTTCCTGTGTGCCCCCCACTGTTAGCAGGTACCACACTAGATGAGCCACTTTTTGGTGGTGACAATAGAAAGAGCTGAGAGAAGTGGTGAGAGAAATCCTGTTTGCTTCAGTTGTGTTTCAGCTTCATAAAAGAATGCCAAGGCAGGAACAGGTAGGGTTCCCAAGGCAGCATACAAATAGCTCATAAATCTTCTGAAGTAAATAGTCTCCTGTTTAGAAAATAAAGAGCTTTGGGTTCCATTATTCTCTCATAATGCCTATTCTGCTGGCATTGTGGGGCTCTATAAAAGCTATCTTTATAGTGATCTTTCCCTGACCTTAATTTGAAAAATTCTGCAAAGGTACACTGGACAAAATTGTAGGAAAATACCCCACAAAACCCAACATTAAAAAATAGATCTTTTACCAGTAATAATGGTGTTTTTAATGATGGACCTTAGAAAACAAAGTCATGGCATTTATGCAGTTGTCTCTGCTTAGTGATTAGTTTCAAAGCATCTGGGGTTTCTGGTTAATAAGTGAAACTGTGAAGACCAGTCTTTTATCAAACAAGTAAACTAGAAATGAAACTCCCAGTGAGTGCATATTTAATACACCGCTTTACGTGCTGGATGGCACTAAGGAGTTTTGCGCTGATGTGTCTTACAAATTCTTCCCACACAGGCTATTTCTCTTTTCATAGCAGTACGTGAAACTTTACCACTCTGACTAGACCACTGCAATAGCCTCTTAGATTCTTTACCTCTTAGTGCTGTACCCTACAGCAGAATTTCTCAAGCTTAATTTTGATGAGTCTTATTTAGAAATTCATGATATCATTAACCATATCAAAATCAAACTTTTGATGAGAGTAAGACACATTGTTGCTGCCATTTTTAACACCCATTGTGTTGGTTCAGATATTCTCTTGTACAGTTGGAAACGGCTTACTGTGGATTCTTATTCCTGTCTTTAAGGTTTCTTCAGAATGTCTTCAGAGGATTCTACCATACTATGAAAATGAAACTTAAAATTCATTTCTGAGATCTCCTTCTACTACATGATATGTAGTTCCTAGGAGTCCAACATTCAAATCCAATATTCAAATCCAGAACTAAAGCTTCAGTTTTGCCAACTGAAGAACTATGGGTCATTCTCCATCCACAGCTACTCATATGTCTATGTTTTCTATAACAACTACGATGATTCCAGGAACTAGAACTTTGAAGTTTGGGTCCTATCTTCCTTCAAGGCTTGAACCTGACTTCCCACCAGTTTTTCTCAGACTTGGGCCTATTTCTTATATTACTCCATGAGAATTTCTTCTGTTACCTAGCCCTGACTCCTTGGTATCTTTTGTTTTTATTAGTTACTGATGTTTCCTTAGTAGATTTTGTTCCCTTGTTCTTGTTAGTAACTGATGTTATCCTTGGTTCAAGTAGAATCCAATTCTCTCTTTGGGAAAATATACATGTAGTGTAGGGTGGCAGTGATGGTATTATGAGGCCTTATTGAAAAAAAAAAAAAAAACTTTGTAGGTCATTCAAAGAAAAGGTAAAATACACATCAAAAACTTTATCAAAATATATTGATCTAATGAGCACTGCTACACAGCTAGATACTATGTGTCATCCATCATCTAGCAAAGTACATAAAAAAACAAAAAAAAATTGCCTATGAAATAATGTTTAAGTGGTAACAGAAATCACTTTATGTGTCCCTCACTATCTTGAGCAATTTTAGATTACGGAACCTTAGAAAAATTTCAGCTTATATTACAATTCGTACTTACATTAGGAAATCAAATGACTGCCTAAATGTATATCTTCCTTTTAAATTATTAAGCTAATCAAAACTAGGAATGAGGGGGAAAAAAGACAGTTTATTTTTTTCAAGAAGAAAATAACATTCAGTTGTGTGACAAGAAAAAAAAATATAATTCTTGTCATTGCTAAACCTCTCATTCAAAGAAAATATATAAAAGAGATATGGAATTCAACTTCATAATCCTACTCAATATGTTTGCATTAAAATAAAAATAAGTAACATACTTTTTACTTATTTTTACAGGTGTCTTACTTATTCATGTATTACTATAAATTTTGTGGTGAGAGGATTTTTAATGATACCATCATGGGACTGCACCCTCTACCTCATGCCAAAATTAATTTTTTAAGGTCCAAAATCCAAAATTTCAATGGCAGACAGTACAATCTAAAGCAACCGTCTGGGATGATAGAAGCTTTAACTCAAGGAACACAGAAAACCATTAAGATTATAAAGTTTAAATTGATTAGGAACAGTTTGTTTTGTACTATTTGATATGAATTAGCTATAGTGACATCAGAGCTATTTCCTTCTAAAAACATACTAAGAAATATAAAGTCTTTGTTCATCAAAATAAGATGTCTTAGTTTAGTTTCATGACTTTTTGGTTTTATTTCTTTTCCTTCCTATTGAAGATGATTTTCAGATAGCAATTCTGTGAAACTCTAAGATAAAAGTTTCTAGATTGATAGCATTGGGTCCAAAAATTAAATCTGAGTAAGTCATGTTGTCTTCATCCAATTCCCAAAGATAAGTTGAATAAGTTCCTCTTTCTTAAAAAGAATCAAAATTAATTAAACAATAAAAAATAAACTCAATTATCCATTTTACTCAGTTCTTTGCTTCCTTTTATTTTCTTCCTCCTTTCAAATTTAATAGTCAGGTTGAAGATTGTCATCACCTTCAATAATAGAGTGCAGGCATAGAGAACAAGATTAAATTAGAGATAGCATCTGTGGGGAAAGTTTTAGTGGGAAAGTAATATGTAACTATGGTATAACCTTACCTAATTTATAGTTGCAAGTTTTAAAACATCTTTTTTCCCATTATATTATTATAAAATATTAAGAGTTAGACTTACATATTCAACAGGAATAGCATCTTTTATTATATGAAAACCACCTTACAATGTTAACTTTACCTTTTCATGTTAGTTTCGAGCCCGGGGAGGTTGATAAAACTGCTGGGTTGGGCGAATGGATCGTCTTGGCTGGCCATCACCTCCTCTACGGAACTCAAGAGTTTGGTCGTAGGTGCCTTCTTCCTCCTATTTGCAAAGAGTAGTGATTTAACATGTTCAAAATAGCGCCAAGTTTCCTAAGTTAAATATACTTTATGGTCCCCATTTTGATATGCCCTCTTAAGCTGCCCTGGGATTCACATCTGTCAACTTTTATAATAGAGGGAGGCAAGGGAAAAGAGGGGGAAAAAAAGGTCCTTGGTAATGGAAGAATGAAATTTATAGTGGTAACAGAATCCAATTTAAATTCTAGAAAAGGAAGCTATTTCCACATAATAGCATAAATATCTCACCAAATGAACCAATGTGGTAAAAACATAAATGCAAGCATTATAATAAAATTTTTCTTGAATATTTAGGCTTCTAGTTATTTCTAAGTATTTATCATGGAAAAGGATTTTCGTCAGATATGAAAAAGGGTTTGAAGAGCCAGAGAGTGTTCACCAGCTGTCTGTCCTCATCTGATGAAATCTCCAACATCGTTAAGAACCTTACATCTAGAGACAGGAAAAAATAATGAATTGGAATGAGGAGGGGAATACAATTTACATATAAAGAAAGCTTCATGCAAGACATAGCAATCACCATCGTAAAACACAAACTATTTTCTTCTCCTTTTCTTTCTTACTGAAAGGGCAGATCTATCAGGTCAAGGGATAGCATGGGTAAATTAGGATAAGCAGATTAGACAGCCGAAAGAGTATAGTTAATTATAATATTTGAAAGGACTTAAAAGCAACAGAAATGTAGCCAAAAGCCACACTGGTTTCTTACTGAGTGCTGCCACCCTGTTATTTTAGTGTTTTTAAATTAATGTTCCCTTTTAAATACAGGGAGTGGGGGGAATTGGCTTTCAGTTTTATTTATGACACAGACAGCATCTATTTCAAAAGTTGAGTTAAAATTCCAACTGAATTATCAGAGTATAATAATTTGCATAATCTTGGAAATTTATCCTACTTCTTCCTCATCCTTTTATTTTTGAATCTTCTTTCCCAAAAGACTGCTACCTTTGACCCTGTAAATAACACAGGCAATTACATAAAAGACTTGAGTTCTATTCTCTAAATTCACAGATCCAACTACACAATTTTACCTGATTGAAGCAGAGACCTGTTAAGGTAATTTGATCAAATCCTATTTAGAAATTATATTTAATATTTGGCATGAACGTAATTCTCATTATTAGAATTCATCCATGTTATTCTTATCATTCTTTCCATTTTATACAAAGGACAATGAAGCCCAGGAAAGTTTTGGGACTTTGTCCTAGTATTTCTAAGGCAACCTGGGTTTTGATTTAAATATTGATGCTTACAACCACAACTCTTGGTCTACATCTAAAAGAAATAAATAAACCAATAGCCAAAAATTAATGATAATCTTTAGAGGACCATCATCACTGAAATAATAGGATGGAGAAATTCATATTATATTCAAATATATTTGACAATATATCTGGCATAACTCAACAACTACCTTTTAGAGAAAAGCTTTCAAAAAGCTCTCCTTTCCCTATGTATCTTTTGTTAACAATCTCAAGTGATTAGGAGGATCAGCTATAATGTCTATAATTTAGTAAAGCAATTAAAATGCAGGAAGAAAACTGGAAAATGTGATCAGGAAATGAGAATTTTTTTATTATTCTGGTCACTGTTCTGAATGAAGATTATCAAATATTACAGCTAAATTTGAAAGGGAGTTATTTAAGTTTATGACCTGTAACACATTTGAATCTTTGCATATTAACTGCATAAGATAAACAAATATTTGGTACTATAGTAGATGAAGTAATTATTTTAAGAATTAGAATAGAATGTTCTTTTTCTTCACGATGAGCAACAGAACTGCCAGAAGACATCTAAAAATTTGTATTTTGTCAATAAAATACACTGTTAAAGGTAGGATGCTACTTTTACTGGGTGAGCTAGATTTATATAATAGGACATTGCTATTTAAAAAGCTGTCTCTACTGTGTTTAAAATAGTCACAGTCTACACTACCTAGAGCCAATTAAATGGTTTTATAGAGATGACCAACTCTAAGATCCTTTTCACATTATTTGATGTTATCACAATCTTTTTGAACAAAGTGGAAACAAAAAAATTAAAGTTGATTCTGATAGCTTTGTTTTCAGTTATTGTCAAAAACATAATCTTGCTTTTTTAACTTTTAAAAATTCCTCTAACAGTGGTTGAGAGCAAACCTGGTTTCCCACCAAAACTACTTCCTGTGGTCTAATAGCTAGTAATTTTTAGCTCTAAATACCTTTTTCCATTTTATGTAACACATATTTTAATTTAACAGAGCAGATAGTCTGGAGTCATCTTTGAATGAAATTTATACTTTGTTCTTCTAACCTATCTTTTTCCTTTAGGTTCACTACTATGTAACATTTAAAACTCAAAAAAATTAAATTTCATAGTTAATGAACATAATCAAAAAAATCTGACACTGTTTGAGCTGAAACGGTCCTGGAAAGCCATCTATCTCTTTAGATTTTGACAGATGAGGAATCTCTAAACCAGAAAGGGGATGTGATTTTCCCAAGTACAGAGCTTATTAGAGTGAGTTCAGACCAGGGCCATTTTGTTTCTCTCTCAGGCAAGAGTCTCTAAAAGATTTGTGATTACTTTCATAAACTGGAACTGTCCAAGTTTCTGAGATTTAGAACCATTTTATTGGGACTCAGATGTTCTGCTTACCTCAGTCATGCTAACAAGATGATTTAAAAGTAATAATATTCAAAATGCACTCTCTTTTCATGCCAATATTTACTAGTTTATTGACCTTTTTTAATGAAAAAATACAAATTGCAATAGTCATTGTGACACCAAGTATGAATGATATTTAAAAGAAAAAAAAAAAGGTCACAGCACCAATGCAAAAAGGAAATTCACAACTTTGTCTATAAAACACATTTGACAGATCACAACATCCTCCCTGCATGTCATTTTCAGTCTCACTAGTGCATACTGCACCTGAAGTGAGAACACACACACACATATTCCCTTGACTATAAAAAGCTATTACACAAAAACTCATTGTAAATCAGTTACTTGGAACTTGGAACATACCTCGGTAGGAGTTATGACACACACTTAAATAGAGTCAGGTTCTCACTTCCATAAATAGCATGGTGAAGTGCAGTTAGTATGCAAACCCATACTCTAAGTAAGGTGCTAGGTCAGTGGTTCTCAACTGTAGTGACTCTGCCCCTCAGGGGGCATTAGGTAATGTCTAGGGACATTTGGACTGGCCACAACTGAGGGGTGTTACTGAGATCTGGTGGGTTTGGAGACATTTATGGTTATTATAAACTTAGGGGGTATAAACTGTGTGGCAAGGAATTGTTATTACATTTAAGGGTAGAGGGCAAGGACACTGCTACACCTCCTACACTGCACGGGAAAGCCCATACAAATAATGATCCAGTTCAAATGCCAACAGTGCTAGGGTTGTGAAATCCTAGGCTAGGCAAATGAAGGAAGAGGAAACTTAGAGGTTGCAAGTGCCAGGGCACCCTGAAAAATAATTCTGAAATTCAGGAAGTTCAAGTCTGGCAACCTGTCCCTTTTTATTGGTATTTCTTCTTCTGCCTCTGCTTCTGAGGCCTAAATGCTGATTCAGTTCTCCATAGAACTTCATTGTATGAGGTGGGGGGCAGGTCTCCATTTGCTAACAATACAACATTTTCCTCTGTTTCAGTTAAATGTTCATATTAACCTTCTGAATTGTCTTATCTGAATTAAAATGCTGCAGTCCCTTCAGCACATTACCAAGGTCATAATTTTGTGAAGAGACAATGAGAGATTATTTGTTTGGTAGGGCTAGGGAGTAGAGATGGCAATTCCCTTTATAAAACAAAACTTAGAAAAACTTATTGTCACCTGTCATTTAATAGCAATTCTGGTATATAATTTAACAAAACTTCTAATCAGTTCCTTCTGGACAGAATCTATTTAGATAACTCACAAAAACATAAGATAGTATATTAAATTCATATCACATAGCCTCAATAATTCTGCAAGTTTAGGATAATTTGAACAATGAAATACAAATGAGTATATGTCTCCTTCAGTGGCTGACATATGAACTACTTAGTCTATGTATTTCTAAGTCATTTCATCTGACTGGTTAGCTTGTATAGTCAGTTTTTAGAAATATAAGCTAATTTTAATATAAAACCCAAGCAAACAACCATATTAAAAACAAATCTGTGAAACTATGGAGACAGTAAAAAGATCAATGGTTGCCAAGGGTCAGAGAGAGACAAAAGGATGAATAAACAGAATACAAGCTATTTTTTTAAAGATTTATTTATTTATGCACACAAGAACTGGGGTATGGGCCAGAGATGCAGGGGTTGAGAGGATTCACCAGAGACAGAGTGGGGAACAGAACAGGCAGACTGACTGAAACACACTGCTGAGGGGAGCAGTGGAGGAGACAGGAGAGGTCTGCTACGCCATGTGGGTCACCTCTCTGGCAGGAGATCAAACCCGTAATGCATTGGCTGTGGACAGCTTCATAGGTTGTGTCTTAACCCCTTGCGCCATCAGGGAGGCCCCAATATAGGCTATTTTAAGGGCAGTGAAACTATTGTGTATAATCATATTATGGTGGATATGTGTAATACATTTGCCCAAAACCATAGAACATATAAAAGGGAACCATGATGAAAACTATAGACTCTGGCTGATAAAGATGTGACAATGTAGGTTTATCACTTACAACAAATGTGCTACTCTGTTAAAGGATGTTAATAAGGGGGAAGCTATGCATGTGTTGGGGGAGAGAGGATATATAGTAAGTCTCTGAACCTTCCAATCAGTACTGATGTGAATCTAAAACTACTCTTAAAAATAAAGCCTATTAAAAACAAAAAGGTATAAAATAGGCTATGCCAATAGGATATATCGTGCCTCACAGAGTGCCGACATGGTAGGTCTTTAACATGATGAAATATTTGTTGTATTACCTTATTAAAATGGCCTATCTCAATCCATTCAGATTCTTCCTGTAGTTATAAGTAAATAGAATATAATAATTAAATTTCTTTCATCTACGGGATGGCATGAAGATTAATGTGTGAAAACCACTTTGAAGATTATTAAGCTTTCTGAAGTGGCTCTAGGTTGCATTTACTTATTCCCAGGGTATTTATAGTATTTCCTCTCTTAGTCATCATTACAAAACTTCTATCTTGGATTTTACTTTTCAGTCCAAATAATGAAATAGAATATCTCTGCCCCATTCAGAAATGAAAAAAAAAAAAAAAAAAAAACCAAACAATCATGTAATGGATTCCAAAAGTAGAACCTAGGGCATTTCAAAGTGATCTATTTTAGATTGACTTTAGATTGACTATACTAACACCCTATTACATTAGAGTAACCAAAATTTCAAAGTAAAAGCTGGGTCAACTCTTTTTTCCTATGAAGATCATGAAAATTGTTTGTGCTCATAGCACATGTATTATGATTAACAGTCAACC